TTTCCCTTTTAAGACAATCGAGTTTGATTCAATGCAGACTGCGAAGCAGTCAACGCGCTTTCCCGACTGTTCATTCAGAGACTCTGTCTTTGTTCTGTCATTTTCTCTCCCTTTCTTCTTGTTTAGTAAGAAACCCACTACACAGACAGAGGTTCCCCTTTGAGTTTTGACTCCCCCCCCCCTCCCCCCATACTTTTTCTTCTGTTACAGAAAGATACTGATACAGAATACGTATATTATAACTGAGTTACAAAGTGAAAATGCAACGGAATTCGATTGTGGGGATTATTGTGCGAACCTTTTGAGAGAGAAGAATGGGAAGCTGTAGCACGAACTCCCATATTAGATGGACTGCCCATTTGCTTGTACTTAGGCTTTATATGATATTCTCACATAATATTCAAACATAGCCATAGCCCCACCCCCTTCGTGTATGTGTATGTATTTTGAGAGCGTCGCTTACATCTCTAGAATGTTTCATAAAGTTTTGTATTTCCGGAGAATAAAAGGGTAATTAATGATCTTTGTAAGAGAACAGCAAATAACATAAAAGACATAAAGGCATGCAATGCATCATGCAATACGTATAAAAGCTTGTAATCGTTACAACCTTTGCGATGTGACAATGCACTGCCAAGCTTACGTCTCTTTCTTTTGTTTTGTCTGCTTCCATCTGGGCTGTTTTCGTATTTTGACTATGCCATTACATGCCGTCTTATGTATTAATATATCTTTTTTTTCCCTTGTAAACGGAGGAAAAAAAAAGAGAGAAGTTTTGGAAGCTGAAAACCATTTGATTCGAGGAGGGCTTTTTAACGTTCTCGGCGTTTTTTTACTTAAACGCGTCAACGGTCGCAGTCCGAGTCAAGAATATTTTTGTCCTCACTTGTTGGCATCGTAATAATCATACACATTTGCCTGCAACGAGACGAAAACGAGTTCTTGAGCAATTAACAAATGGGTTTGTGGTTAAAGTTTTTAATTACATTTTTTTTGGATAACCAGTTATTTTATAGCAAGGGTCAGACTAATCCGGATATAGGGAGCCAGCCATGTTTAATTACATTTGGTTAGCAGATTAATTATTGAATGAATATAACATAATTTTTATAATCGATGATAGTGGGTTTGAGTAGTTGTTTTCTCACAGTTGGGGAAATGGTGTCTTAAAAGTTAACATAGCCAAATCAGACATGAGATTGCTTTTCAGCTTTCGTGTTCAACTTCATGAGTCTTGTCTCCTCAACTTACCGACCTGTCTCCAATCTTCCCTTCTGCTCTCCTGCGCGGGTCTTTAGGTTCGAATAAATTGTTTGTAGGGAGAAAGACATTTTACAGCACACACACACACTTTGTAAAATGTGGCTTTTTCGGGAGTTGGGGGTTGGACTTCTTGCCCGCTCACCTATCGCATGTCAGTTACGACTGATTTACCTCCCATACATGTGTTGCAGGCTCGTGCGTGTGGGCTTGGGTTTACTCGGTCAACGCGTCCGAAGGGTAGCAGCCGGGGTTCCCAATATATAAAAAAAAAATGTGGCTTTTTCCTACACGAATTTTTGATTTGACAAAAAACTATACCAAATTATCAAATATGCCAAATTGATATATGAACTACCCAATTTAACTGCAATTTTCTACACAATCCGAAAACGGTGTTAAGTGTCCGTTAACCGCTGATGTGGCACGCCACGTGGCGGATGACGTGGCACGTCACATATATTTTTGTCACATCAACATGTCACGTCAGATGTTTAAAAATAAATTTAAAAAAATCAGAAAAAAAATCGAAAAAATTTTAAAAATTAAAATTAAAATAAATAAACAACAAAAAAATACATATATATACATATATATTCATATCTATATATAAATACAAATATAAATATATATACTCCTACATAAATATATATATATATATATACAAAATAAAAAATATACACATATATATACAAACATCTATACAAATATATATACATATACATGCAAATAAATATATTTATATATATACACATACACATGTATAAATACATATACATATATATACATATGCATACATACATACATACAAAATAAAAAATCCATATATATACATACATATATATTCATATCCACATACACATACAAATATAAACATAAATACTCCTATATATATATATGTCTATATATATTAAATAAAAAATATACACATATATACATGCATTTATACAAATATATATGTATATACATACATACAAGATATTTATATATATACACATACATATATATATATAATACATATAGACGTATATATATATACATACGCATATATATACATACGTACATACATACATACAAAATAATATATATATATATATATCCACATACAAATACAAATATAAACATAAATACTCCTATATATATATAAAAAATAAAAATATACAAATATATATACATATATAGGAGTATATATGTTTATATTTGTATTTTTATATAGATATGAATATATATGTATTTTTTGCTTTTTATTTTTATTTTATTTGCAAGTTTTTTTGGATTTTTTTTAAATCTGTTTTTTTATTTTTTTTGTAAATTTTTTTTCGGATTTTTGTTTTTTGTTTTTTTAAAAAATATGACGTGGCATGCTGACATGACAAAATTTTCCATGTGGCTTGCCATGTCAGACGCCACGTGGCGTGCCACGTCATCGATTAACGGATATTTAACACCGTTTTTGAATTGTGTAAGAAATTGCAGTTAAATTGGGTAGTTCGTGTATCAATTTGACACATTTGATAATCTGGTGTAGTTTTTTGTCAAATTAAAAATTCGTGTAGAAAAAAGTCACATTTTACAAAATCTGCGTAGGAAAATGTCATTTTTTCTTGTCTTTAAAATTGAATTTGATACAATAATAATCAATTTTAATTTGAGACAATTTTTATAGAACCGAATAAATTGTTTTAAAATTGAATTTGATAAAATATCAAACAGAATACGCACAAATACCAAACCAAAACCCGAAATATATACTTCTATGAATTTATGCGTGAATACCAAATTTGAACTATCGTTTGATATTTATATAACAAAAATATTTCAGACCGAACCAAATCCTTTAACATTTAGTTTTAATTTGAGACAATTTTTATAAAACCAAATAAATCATTTCCGAAATAAAAACGACAAATATAAAACTGAACTCCAAAACGTCTATCCCTATTGCGGATTATATATCTTTTTTTTTATAACTTATTGCAGATTATATCTCAAATCGAAACTAACAGATTATATCTCTCACTCAAATGTTTTATGTAAAAGGAATTTTTTTTGGGTATTTTTGGCTAACCATTATGGAAATAATGAATTGGAGCCTTTCGGGGCTACGTCAGTCGGTTGGGATCGGTTGGGAGCATGAGATAACTCATTGAGGTCGGGTTTTCGAATCTTACCACCTCCCTTCCTCTGACCTGCTCGCCTGTCAGCCTATCATAATGGGGTTATTTACCTCCTACGCGTGTATTGCAGGTTCGTGCTCGTGGACTTGAGGTTTGATCCGCATGCGCCTAAGCCCAACTACGGCCCGAACGTTAGGCGTGCCTGGTGGCCAGATCTGGTGGGAACTGTTAGGTGCAGATGGTGGACAGTTCGTCTCCGTCGGGTAGGTAGTCCCGCTCCCAATGTATAAAAAAAAATAATAATGAATTGGAAAGCATTTGTTGTGGAGTGGAAAACGACGACGCATTAACGTTCTTATGTCATGGTCCTCGCTTCTCTCCGTACCGTACCAATAAAAAAACGGAGAGGAAGATACAATTACCATAGACGTGAATATGACGGTGTGCTCCTCGTCGTCTTCACCGCCCATATTCGCCCATGTCGGAGGAGCTCCACCAAGCAATCTCCATGGACGGTTTATGGTTCCTTCTTCTTCTTCTCTTGTGTAAGTCTCTCTCTACCTCTGTTTCTTATTGTTTCCTGGAAATTCGTCGACAATCTTAGAAAGAAATAGGATTTGGAATTAGTTACCATACCATGTTCTTCGGCGTTCTTAGTTCGTACGTATTCTCGAAGGTAATCTCCGATTCTTCGTCAAGATCGGCGTAATTTGTGTTCTTGCTCTTATTTGCTGTTGCAATTATCTTTCTGGGTTCGTAATCGTTCTCACGAATCAGACAGTTGCTGTATCGGCTAATGTCAGGGACTGGGGATTGGGGATTGTTACTATGAAAGACTTGTTCTTTTTTTTTTTTAATCCATTTTTTGTGGGTAAGATTCCATTAGAAATTCTCAAAATGGTAATTGATTTCTCTCCAGACCAGAGTCCTTTGAGTTTGAACGCAGTCTCAGCCCTCAGGTCGATGGGTTCCGACCTTTTGCTTTTCATTCTCTCTTCTGTCTCCTCCCTTTCTTCATTTCTTAATGACCTTTATTGGCGTCCTTCTGTATTATCTCAAAAGGGTACGAATTGATTATGAAATCTCAGGGAAGATTGGATAAAATGCTCAGTTTGTCTCGAAATCTTTACCATCTGGGAACATTCTCCAAAATTGGAACTTCTTATCATGTTTGGAACATGGTTATCTTCCACTTTATCAGCATTCGACATTGTTATTTTGAGATCTGATCATTGCATACAGGTCTGGTTAACTCGATGTTTTGTTGTCACCAGTACTCAGCTGAGTATTTATCTTTTCTATTGAATCCATCCAAATGATTTCTTTTTTGGGTCCGGTTCTCAGATGGGGACAAAGAAGACGCCTAGACACAAGCTTGGTGGTGGGAGGCATGACCAGGGGCGAACCCTTCCATGTCTTGGCTAATTCAAACGTATAACATCTGGTGACGCTTCTCATTGTGCAAATGATATGTTAAAATTTGAACATGGGGAGTAAAAATTTCTTAGTTTTGTCGGTGAAAATCTTGTGGATATGAAGATCTACCGAATTCATACGTGTAGTTTAGCATTCATCCACGGGTTTCTTCACGCAGGTCATTCCAGGAAAGGGAGGTTCGAGCAAAGAAGTGATTATGGTCGACCCTTTGGAGGCCAAGAGGTTAGCTTCTAAGCAAATGGAAGATATCAGAGTGAGGGAGAGGCTAAAGGTAAAAAAAACTTAGATTCTCTTTGTACTGTTAAATTTATAGCACTTCTTCTACATTGGTCCTTGGCTCTATAAATCAACCTCGGACTTTGCCTCATAGATGTGGTTCTGTAATATGGTATATATATACACACACACTCAATATGTATGCCGAATATCTCATCTGTTTGACAGAGAAGACGGCAAATAGAGGCGATAAATGGAGCATGGGCAATGATAGGATTAACGGGTGGACTTGTCGTCGAAGGCCAAACAGGGAAGGGTATTTTGGCTCAGGTATGATCACATTAGGTTTGTTTAAAGCTTTTGATCGGGACAGAGGGTTTGCATGGAGATTACCTTTGTTTTTTTTTTGGTCATGTTGAAGGTGGCTGGTTACTGGTCTTCCTTTTTCCATCTTTTCGTCGGATGAATCGACTGAGGAAGTGATCATCTGAGTTTGGACCTCACTCTTCCATGATTCTTGCCATTTCTTTGGAGTTCATGTGCCTTCTTCATCAATAGAAGGAAACCTCTGGCTCTGTGAGAAGTTTCTATCGGGCCTTTAAATAATGTAAGAAAGCCCATTTATTGATAAAATATACTTGTAAGGTTACATACACATGAATTGATGAAATATACTTATATGTAAAAAAACCTTTTTTTATTCATCATATATATTTAAAATAAATAATCTATTATCATCTCTGCTTAGCATGAATATTCGAATCCACTATATAGATATATTAAAAACTATTTAGAAAATAAAAAGCAAAAAAATATCTACACTTATTTTGACCGTTTTATCCCTAGCTGCTAACCTTACCTCTTCACCCGCCAAAACTAGTTGAGATATATTTACATATCTACCCTTACACAACCAACAAAATTACGCCCGTCACCACCAAACCAGTCAATCCATCCATCAAACCGCCCACGAAATGCTTCTCGGCAACAAATCACCGGTATTCCGGTCACCGGAATCTTCATCAAGCTCGAGCCTAGCAACCGTACGGTCACTATACGACGACAGCCGAGACTTGAATTGGGTTAGAAGAGGAACGACCGTGGCTTCGATCCATTCTTGAAACCCTGTCGGACCCAGCCACGCTCCGCTCATTATTCTCTGAAACGCATCGTCCTCAATGTCCAGCGATAATGAACCTCCTACCATTTTTCCGAATCTCTCCGACAATGAATCCGCGATTTTCCGGCTGAGAAGGCCGAAATCCACCGTCCGAAAAGCCACGGCCTCGTCAAGGAGACCTAATGGGCACCTTGACGTGACATAAGGCCCACATTCATTTTAACCATTGGGCTCAGGCCCACATGTGCGATCTCAAAGACCGCTTCCTCAGCCGCCGTCGCAGAGCGTCCGCCATGGCTTTCACGGTGTCCTCCCACAGATACACTACGGCGGCCTTGGCCTTGACAGTTTTCGCCGTCTCCGTCTCCGTATCCGTCGTCGTCTCGCGTACTCTCTCTCTCTCTCTCCTCTGTGCTGGCGAGTACTTGTACGATATTTTACTGGAAACTCATATTGTGTTGATTTCTCTTCAGGGTTTAGATGGAGAAGAAGGCATAGAAATTTGGAATCTAGGATTAGTGATCTTGAGAAATCTCTCGATTCCATTACCGAAAAATGTGCTTCTGAGAGACGAGGTCGTGTTAGGGCTCAGCAGGTCTTCTCCTTCTTTTTTTTTTTCTTCTGATTCTGATCCAAAGCTAATGGGAAGGAAACGAAGAGTTCAACAATTAAAAATCCGGTTGATTACTTCACTTATCAGGAAAAAAAAAATTCAAATTGAAGCGTTACTGTATGATTTCCCACATGGGTTTTCGATTTTTGCCCGAACTCAGACTTCTACTTCCGACATTTTTGTTCTGCTCAATACTCTGCTTTGATCTCCTAAATTCAGACATTGAGATTGACCCAAAAAGTTTGTGCCTTTATTATCATTTCTTTTTCAGGCTTTGGACTATAACAATGTTTAACGTGTTTTGTGATTTTAGGAATTACGGGAGGCTTTAGCACAAAACCAGCCTCATAATTTAAACAACGCTTCCTACCCGATGCGGCCAATTGGCACCATACAATCTTGCTTCTCCACGAGGTACTTCATGTGATCACGTTTGGGAAAGGGTAATGCCATTCTGAATGGCGGTTTCTGATTGTTACTGCTTTTGTGTAATGCTGTTGATATGGCTTAATCTTGTATTGGTCAAAGTAATAAACTTTCACATCGTCTTGGTCAGAATGATAGCTTGGTTTGATCAGAATGCCATTCTTGTTCAGAATACTGAACTTCAGTTATGGCTTCTCTGTTTTGGAGGAATGGGACACCCAGGCAGCCTTTGCTTGTTTCTCTAGCGAGGGCGTGCTTGACATTTGATCCGGCATTGGTTCCTCCTGCATCTCTTGAGGGTCTCGGCGAGTATTCTTATTGCTGGGTCATATACGTCTTTCATCTCAACACCGATATTGAGAAGCTATGGAGAAAACCATCTCAATCAAAGCTAAAAGCAAAGGTATCCACCACATTTCCAAAGTCTTCACCTTTTAGAGTCTGCTCATCAGAATCCCGGTCTGGAGGTTCTTTACAAGGTTATGGCTTTCTCGTCAACTCAGGTGAGAGTACCGAGACTGAAAGGCGGACGGATGGGACTCTTTGCTACTCGTTCTCCTCACCGTCCTTGCCCAATAGGTCTCACTGTCGCTAAGGTATCCTCCGACCATGATTTGTTTCTCCAGAGGTATACGATACAAGGGCATTGAACATGGTGCCATGGAACGTAAGGCAAGTAAAAAAAAAGCGGATTTTTTGAATGTAGGTGGAGGCAATCCAAGGGCATATGATGCTGCTCTCTGGTGTGGATCTTGTGGACGGGACTGTAAGTCTACCTGCCCTTTGCATGTTTTATTCTCTATGGGTTTTTTTTCTTCTTCTGAAATGATTGTATCTTCGTTTGTTTATAACTACTGTGAATAGCCGGTGCTTGACATCAAGCCTTACTTACCGTACTCTGACAGCATTGAAGGAGCCAGAGTGCCAGAATGGGTAAAGGTATGAACTTTATAAAGGTACTGACTTCCTGAGTGGATCATCTCTACAACTCAAGCTTTCATCGTTAGATTCTTATAAATTTTGATCCCAAAATTATTTTTCACAGGAGGATAGTTCATTGGCTGTGGCCTCTGTTAGTTTCTCGGACACATTCTCTTCCTCTATCGCCAATTGCTGGAAAGTGATAGTGAGTATATCTTTTAGTAGCTATTCAAACACCATCCTCTTGTCCGATCAGAACATGAGAAGAGTGTACGCGTTTCTTTTTTTATATATCAGGAAAAGAACTCTCTGTACGCATCGATAGACGAGTTCAAGAGCTTGATCGAGCAGGTCCTGTCTTGGGACATACGATCAGTGTCCCAACGGATCAAACCACAGTTCCCGGAGAACGGAACCGACAATTTTGCATCAGGGCGTGATGGAGACGTCGTTTATCACTTGGCTCTGGAGGGACTGGACGTGTCTTACTCGATAGATTCTGACAGTAACATAGTCGTGGAAGATGTTTCTGTTCCAAATAACTTGGGAGATGGTAAGAGGAGAGAAGGCTGCATTAGCTACAATAAATGGCGACCGCATCTCTAGCAGATGAATTTCTGTGTTGTTTGTTCTTTATGGAACTCATACTGTTGTATGATGAGATCGTGATTCCTTTGGGAAAAAAAAAATGAGAAATATGTTTTTTTCTACCACACTGTTTCTAATCGTCATATATGTGTGTATATATATATACATACACATACACACGATTCTGTGTTTGAGTCTCATTGTGTTTTTTTTTTTTTTTGGGAAAGAAAAATGAAAGGCAGTTGATTGATTGTTCAGATGTGTAAGTAAAGCAATTGGGAAAGGCCCACGAGGGCCCAAGCCAGGGTTTACGACGAAAACGACGTCTCTGTCCAAATTAAACGATGGTGGGCTACTATTGGTTGGTTGTTGGGCCCATCATGGGCTGGCCCACTCCGACAGCCGTCACATTCACCTCTCTTCTTCGTGTATTCTCTTCTCTCTCTCTATACATACATATAATATATATATATATATATATATATATTTCTGCGTACTGAGTCAGCTTCCACATGAATCATATCTTACCTATAAAATAGATGGCAAATATGTCAATATTGGTCCGTTTTGTATTTTAATTCCTTGTTTTTTCTTACTGTCGTGGTATTCTTTCAGCATATACCCTGTTATCCCTAGGGAGATGATCCCTCTCAATAGATAAACAAAAATATGATATTTATATATATATATATAACAATGGTATTATAATATATATATATATATATATGTACGTGTAACGTGTATATATGTTTCTAATTTGGATTAGAGTCGCGAGGTTAGTGTGGTAGGGGGGAGAGAGAGAGGTGAATCTGGAATCGATACGAAAGTAAACGCTCCACCCACCTATGTATTTAGGGTTTCTGATACTTATTTATCATCTGTCAGGTGGAAACTTAAATGTCATTTGAGCGTATAGATAGTATGATCTATTTTTCCATTTAATTCCTTTATGTGAAAAAATAGAGTAAATGAAGTTCCTAAGGTTAAATTAAAGATAATATCATTGCGGTGTTAGTCAAGTGGATGAATATCAACCCATAAAACTATGGGAGAAACATATCATGAAAGTCTTTAAGAATTGAATTATTTGTCCACGGACCTTACAATTAAAACGATATACACTTGTAGAATCTTAGAATTTGTAAGAAAATTCATCAAATTGAAACGAACCAACCTAAATTTCGATTTAGGATACCCATATAATTAAAAAAAAAAAATTGTTCTCACACGTTAACAATAATGAAACATTAAAAATTAAAATTAAAACTATATGGTACATACTCAAGACCGGTATTTTTCAATTTCTGTTGATATTGTTCAACTCATTATGATTCATGATCTAACTGCTTAATGTCTTGTAGTGAAGGAATTTCAAATATCGTTGGTAGACATCGTAGGTTAGGTTTTTCTTCTTCTTCTTTTGGGTAGAGAGGTTAGGTTTGTAACAACGAATGTGAATATAAGGGAGTTAAAGGATTCATTCACGTGACGATTATTCGAACCTGAAATGCTCATATCGAGAAAATTCCTTATGATTGGTTCATGAGAATTTTCACGATCCGCCAATAGAAATAATCACATGTTATTGGGAAAAAAAAAATTGGTTTTAGTTTGCGCCTATCGTAAGTCATGATGAACCTCTTTCTTGTCCGATCTGATTGGTGTTTCTCAAATTTAAGGACCACTTTAACCGTAAAAAAAAATCCCCATTTCGTTATGTATGTTACATTTTCAGTGGTCAGGTGAATTAATAACGACAAATGCAAATCACCCATTCTTATTGAATGACAAGAACGGTGCCACCCCGTACCCTTTGAACCCATTTGACCATCCTTCAAATTTTTTTGCCCATCAACTTTTCACATATGGATAACTAAGCATGTTACATACATGGGCGCAAGTACTTGAGACCTGCCGGTTTTTTTCGGGTACCCCGTCTCGTGGATACTCGAGCAGTGACGGAACCAGAAAAATTTATGGGTGGGAGTCATAATTATTATATATAAAATATCTATAAAAAAGTTTTATTGGGAAAAAAAAAATTGGTTTTAGTTTGCGCCTATCGTAAGTCATGATGAACCTCTTTCTTGTCCGATCTGATTGGTGTTTCTCAAATTTAAGGACCACTTTAACCGTAAAAAAAAATCCCCATTTCGTTATGTATGTTACATTTTCAGTGGTCAGGTGAATTAATAACGACAAATGCAAATCACCCATTCTTATTGAATGACAAGAACGGTGCCACCCCGTACCCTTTGAACCCATTTGACCATCCTTCAAATTTTTTTGCCCATCAACTTTTCACATATGGATAACTAAGCATGTTACATACATGGGCGCAAGTACTTGAGACCTGCCGGTTTTTTTCGGGTACCCCGTCTCGTGGATACTCGAGCAGTGACGGAACCAGAAAAATTTATGGGTGGGAGTCATAATTATTATATATAAAATATCTATAAAAAAGTTAATAAAATATGTCAAAACAATGTTTATATTCTATTATTAAATTTTACTATTCTTTATTTTTAAAAATCTATCTATAACAATTTAATTTATAATTATCTGAAATATATCTTTTTCGATAAAATAAACTATATAATTATTCAAAAATAGATCATCAAAATGATTACGAAAATTATTTTCAAAAATTTATCATTAAAAATCTGTCTTTAATATATTTTTTTACATCAAGATACTAAAATAAATCATGTAAATTAATTTGTTGAGAGAGAGATCTAAACTAATAATGTGATATATTATTGATTGAAATTTTACTATATTGATGCAAAGTTTTTTTATCTTAGAAAAAAGTTTTTTTGAAATATTTGTCAATTGGTTTTTCTATAAATCAAATATATGAATATATATATATATAAACAAATTTATAAATATGATCAAAATATAGAAATTGATGAATAAACAAAAAATATTAGATTTGTGTTTTTTTTAGAGAATTGAAAGAGAAAATAAAAAAATAGATATAATATAAACAAATTTATAAATATGATCAAAATATAGAAATTGATGAATAAACAAAAAATATTAGATTTGTGTTTTTTTTAGAGCTTCCGATCTGAAAATAAAAAAATAGATATAAAATAAGACTAAAAAGGGACATTTTAAAACCTAATATTTAGAGAAACAAGAAATTAGAAAAAGAAAAAAAAGAATAGAAGGGAACCTAAGAAAAAATTTAACGGGGGCCTTCAACCTTTTTTATCAAAATTTTATAACAAATATAAGTAAATTAATTTTTTTTCCCTAAATATATGGGGGCATGGGACCCCACTCCCATACATGTGGGTCCGCCAACTCGAGACACGGGTATTCGCTAAGCAACGATGGCGAAGACAGGCGCGATGAGGCCAAGAATCCGGATTGTGGGTCCGGATTCAATTTTTTTTTGAACGACAACGGGTTATCCGTGGATATCGGGATATGAATAAAATGACATTTATATCATTTATATTTTGATGTATTTATGATAATACCTTAATATTCTTTCAAATAAATTAACAAAATATCCTTAACATCAACACAAGTCAACAGTGTTTTCAAGATTTTTACGGATTAATTAAATATCTTCGGATAATCGAGTTCAACGCCCGATACTCACGATAATACTGTGCCCACCACTATCACCCCTATATATATTCACATATTGCCATATCATTATAAACATCTAAAAGGGTCTTTGTGCTTTGACCATTTTCTTTTCTCATGGACCTTCTTGACCAAACTATGTTTACATGCACTAAGTGTCTAGTCTACGTCCGTTTTGACTACTTTCTTCTTTTGATATCCTTCATTGTCTTAGCTCCCATTATATAATTAGCATGTTTGGTTTTATATATCTCCTTATTATGATTGAATTATATTCTTTTGTATTTTAGTATATACATCCATCTTTTGCATTAATTGTGTTGGGATGGAATTCACTCTATTTACTCCCCTTTTTAAACGTTTAATCGGACATTTTTCTCAAGGGTTTATCAACAATTGTGAAAATGTTGCCCTGTAATGTTTTATTTCTTGTTAATATTATTCACCATTTTCCAAAAAAAAAAAACAATTGTCAAACTTGCTTGGTATATATTCATCATTTTAGTACACTATCAATATATTTATATAATGTGATATGGTATATTTCTTTTTTTTTTCCGTCTTCTTCTTTTCATGTTTTTTTTTCTGATGCTCGATATATTCATAATAGATTTTGAATATAATAATGTTCATAAGAGAGAGGGACCAAAAGAGGCTAAGATTTCAATCATAGAATTTGCTATTAAGCGCTTTCAATTTCTTCACTCCATACAAAAACTCATTGAGTTAGTCTCCAATTTTAATCGATGAAATTGACATATGCAACAAATATTATAATAAAAAGGCGAAAAACATACAAAAAAAAAGCCTAACTAGTGTTCATTGGACAAAATATCCAAAATACCCTATTTTTGCTAAATCTATTTCTGCATATACCCTCCTCTAGATATGACTATGTGATCAGAACAATATTATGATCACATGATAGTTACATTGATCACAATGTTCCGTGTTCATTGATATAATAAAGTATAGCAAAAACCATGTACGCATGAATACAATTAGTTGATTGTTATCCATAATATTAAGATATAAAAACTAATTTAGTACAATCGCAGCGTATTATGATGTATAAAAATATAATCCCAATAATTTGATCAAGATTCATTATTTATATTTTTTTATTGGTATTAGCAAAATCTGTCTGACATTAATATTTTATAATAGAAAATATTATGTGAATTCATTCTCCGCCAATACATTAAAACCCTAATACTAGAATTTAATATATATATATATATATATATATTTCCACGACGTTTTGTTAGTGTCACCAAATACGAATGCGACATATAATATGTGGGTGGTCGAAATTATTTTTGTTCAAAGGTATACACATTCATGTCACACAATTATTGTACTTCCAATTCTCAAAAGAAGAAAATCCTTTTGTCATCTTTTGTATTTCTCTTTTATAATATATATAGTCTTATCTTAGTGCGTATCTTCACTTCTTTTCTTGTGGATTACCATATCTTGATTTTATTATATAATTCACAATATTCTATATGCATCAAAATGTAACCGATGCCAAAAAAGACGTTAACTAGTATCATATATATTAATATTATTATTTTTGTTTCCATGAAGCACGAGTATCAGTGACGCATAAATCTGACACTGAACTCAATTATCGAGGATATTCGAACCCGTCAAAATCTTGAAAAAAACCCAATCAAAGTATGTCATGGATTGTAGCTGGTTGAGAAAGTTATGTCCTTTTCCCAAATTCCATGTTCGAACGACCGTTTTGGAAGAAAGATATAATTTAATTGTAATAAATCTACCTTTCGGCTTAAGATGGATGTAGTTAAGTCGAATGACAAGTGAACTAATCCGATTAATATATATATATATATATATATATATATATATATTATTTCGTGCGAATCACCAGAGATTCCAATTGGCCATAATGCCATGCCTTACGTGACATAAAAAAAAATTGCCATTCCTTTTGTGCATTCATGCTATAGATATACATGCATATATTTGTATGTATCCGCTTTGTTCTTACTTTAATTAGTTTGGTTATTGAATAAAGAATCTAGTAATATGTATGTTTTTTCTATATGTTTCATACGTATCGTACGAAATTGGATGTGCATTAATTCTCATGATTTTATACATGTTTTTTCTATGTAATTAAAGCTCCCTAAAAGGAATATAGAAATGCAATAGAGCAAAGAAGTTGGAGGAGCAGATGTGTTTTTTTATCATCACACAAACTTTATTAAACGATATTAAATGTCTTTTTATTGAACTTGCTATTAAGATATCCAAATTTGGTTAGCTCAACAGGTAAGTAGTGAGACAAAACTCATTTCCAACATAGATCGGATTTTTATTTGGAGATAAGTATTCACCTGAGTTTTTTTCTATCCTCTATAATATATAATTGGGTTAAAGAAATGATTAACTATCAGATTATAAAAAAAATTATTAATAAGAATATATAACTAACAAAATTAATTTTTTTTTCCTAGAAACTAGTCGGTTCCGAAGTGATTTATGAGATTATCCTCACGCTAATGTTGTAGGAATCAGATCCCGTACGATTCATGCGTGATTAACCACTGGTGAATTAAGCCACGGAATATCCAGATATTGATACATTTCTTTATTATTTAAATTGATTAATTATAACTAAAATATCTGCTAAATCAAATATGTATGGGTTAAAATAGTAACGCCGACAAGATTCATATTTTACAATTCAAGTATCTGTTTCCAAATCTTTTATTAATTTAATTAATCCATGATAAATCCAAATCTATGGGACAAACATGCATAGATATAGACTTTACAGTTTCCACTATACGTACACATGCATACGCACTCACATAAAATAAGGGTTTTGGAAAGGAAACTGAGATTTTAACTTAATACCGCAATGATTTAAGAAAGGCGTGGGACTCCAACCACATTTTTGTTCTCTTAAACTTTATATATATATATATATAAACAGTTGATGTATTATTTAAACATCATATCATGACTATTGTGTATTTATTTAATAATAATTTTATCAAATAAAAACAAAAACAAAAAAAAAAAAGAACATGGAAATGGGGACGCAGGTGAAGCGACGGTGGAATGTCTGTTTGTCATTGACGCATACTTCGGGTGGTGGAAGCTGACGCTATCTGAAGCGGTTCTCCTTTTAATTATCTTCATTACAAATAGATAATAATAACAATAATGATAATAATAATAATAATATTCTTCATGTGAAAACAAAAATTATTAATAACTAAGTTACAACAGAGGCTTTATAACAACGAGATACAATTTGAAACAAAAAAATTCATCTTGCAAATGTGGAAGACACAAACCTAAATTCGTAGAACAAAAAATAAAATAAAAATAATATAAATCAGCAAAACCTAAATATTTAGGTTAACACCCAAAGTTTGGATGGGGTTATATTAATAAAGAGCTAATAAATTTTAGAAGCGAAAAAAAAATCTAAATTATATGGTCTGGGATGATTTACTATATGATCTAGAATAATACTTAACCGAAATGTGGTGCTTTAACCGGTCTAATAGTATCCTATATTATATTTGAATAGAATAGAATGGAAAGATTAAGATAACAGTTAAATCAAATTAGTTGTATCCAAATGGACTGTGATTGGTTTTCCCATCTGCTGTTTTTAACAATTTTTTGTTTTAATATTTATAATATATAGTTCAAATAAAATATAGTACGCGGGTCCGAATGGTGGTTTCGATGTCTAGAGGAATTTCTTACTAAAAAAAATACAGATTTACACCGCAAAGCAGACGATAGTGGCAGCTAGGGGTGGCCAATTCGGGTTTCGGTTCGGGTTCGGTTCGGTTATATTCGGGTTCGGTTATTTCGGTTATAGATAAACTATAATCATTCGTTTTTTATATAAATTTCGGTTCGGTTCGGTTCGGGTTTGGTTCGGTTTTGGTAAAAAGTTCAATTTTCCAAAGAAATTATCGGTTATTCTCTCAGTTTTTTCGGTTATTTTTTATTCGGTTCGGTTCGGTTTCTGTTTCGGTTTTTCGGGTTTAAAAAAATCATAACCGTTCGGTTTTGATATCGGGTTCGGTTCGGATACGGTTATGTCTTATTCGATTCGGTTTGGTTCGATTATTCGGTTAATAACCGAAATGGCCACCCCTAGTGGCAGCCCTATCCCTTTTATTTGTTACGCAGTATATTTGCATTTATGTATCGTATTCGTACGTTTCGTATTATCTATTTGCTGGGACCCACCCATCGTTCCCTTCACCCTTTTTCGTGTTTTCCGTATATACATACCCACGTCAATTTTATTTTTCGTAAGTGAAAAAAAAAACACTTCAAATTAATTTTAGTATGGTCATATATCGTATCTTTTTAATAACATCGGGAATTCATGGATATTTTGCAATCTAATACATATTTCTATGGCTATGCGTAGCAAAACCTATGAATTGGAGAGATTTATTACACGTGTAAAATATTTGAAAAATAAGCAAATTATCAGGGCATTGATGAGTTATTTGGAAACGAAATGTGAGAAATGTTTTTGGGGACTGAATGGCAAACTAAGATATCACATAAATGATAATAATATATTATGACCGTTTAGAGAACCTAAACAAATTTAATATATGGTTGTAGATTATTTTATTTGGGTAAAATAATAAACTCGATTAGAGGCCATACGGATGATTGTGGATTATCTAAAACAGTGTATTAATTAGGGCTCCAAAGGGAATGAATTGAAATATTCTATATTCCTTTATATAAAAGAAAAAAGATGATAGCATTATAAAGCTAAATAGTTACAAACCCACCAATATGCTTTTAGTTTTAAAAGAGGGGAAAAAATTAAAACAAATGAGCACATAACCATCTTTATTCATTTGGGCCCCAACTCAATCAAACACAATCATCCCCGATAATGAGAAACAAACCCCCCAAAAAAAAAAATTATTCTATAATCCACATACTCTGTAATTACTCACAACGAAAATTATTATGTGACCCCCTTCATTTACTCATAATGTTCATTGTATGGAACAAGTTTTTTTTTTTCATTTTTAGGCATCTTTTTTGTTTTATATGTGGTTTATTTGTGCATCAATATATAATCTATATAAAATATGAACGTTCGATCCATTAATATAATTAAGATGAAAAAAAATTTGATTGGCAAAATTTGACATGCCCTTAATGAAAAAAAAGAAGCTATCAATGTATTATAAGTCATACATAGTCCACTGTTAATTCTCTTTCCTCTATAAATACCATAGTAACCCTCATAACCTTCCCCAAACCAAAGGAAAGATTACAAAAAAAGAATTCATAAAACAATTCGAAATATAAAAAAAAAAATCTATCTTTCTTTCTCTGTCGGCGACCTTCTTCTTCTCCAGATAAAAACCAACAGAAGAGAAGAAAAAGAAAATCTGCGAAACGTGAGAAATGGAAGGGAGAGAATACAACCCAAACATGAACCCAGTGACCAACAGGACAGCTTATGCGGCGGCGCACTCGCCGTGGCATTCGCCGGTGCCGTACTTATTCGGCGGCTTGGCGGCGATGCTCGGCCTCATCGCCTTCGCTCTCCTCATCCTCGCATGCTCTTACTGGAAACTCTCCGGCCACATAGACGGCGGCTCCGGCGAAAACCCTGACGGAGAGAGGGATGTCGAGGCCGGAGACGGCGGCGAAACGAAGAAATCTCAGACGCAGATGCCGGAGAAGTTTCTGGTCATAATGGCAGGTAACGTGAAACCTACTTACTTGGCGACACCGGCTGGCAACAGTGACAGAACGAGCAGGTCTTCTTCGTTAATGGATACCGAAAAGAGTTGTACTTGCGGTGAAGACGACGACGACGACGATGAGGAAGAGGAGGAGGAGGAGGTTAGTGATCAGGTGATGAGGTGGCAGAGCACCGGAGGAAACGGTGAGCCCACCTCTGTCGGAAGACGTTGAAAGCAGACAAAGCTGACCGAGAGAGAGCATCATCACGGGTTCAAATCAAATACAGTTAAAACAAATGTTTTCGTTACGGTCCGTTTTACGGTGAGGGGAATATTTTTGAAACTTGGGTTATTATTTGGAGGGTTTGATTTCATTGTTTGTCAATCTTAAGATTATTTATCTTTAGTTGATTAGAAAAGCCTTTTTTTTTCTTTTGTAAGCTTCCAATTTTGCCCTTTTTAGGGCAAATGGTGGACAGTCCGGCGAGTGTAAATTTCCAAGGTTTGAATTGTTTGTCGACACAGTAGAATTTTTGAGCTGAATGTTTTTATTTTATTTTTTCCTTTAATTTATCTTTTTGTAAAGAGATTTTATTCATTTTACTAGTGAGAAAATCTTCAACTAAACTTTTGTTTTATACAGAAAAAAAAAGTTTCAACCAATATACATTCCAATCCATAGGGTAAAAAAGTTTATACATAAATAAAATCAATTCCAGCTTACATTGTATACATAGAGATTTAATTTGTAGAAATTTTGTATTATTGTCGTAACTAATACTAAATAGCACTAAATTGGGGGAATGAACTTCAGAATATGGAAAGTGGATTGTGAAAGAACAAAATGGAGAGGGCTTCTTCTCAGGTGAAAAATGGAAAGAGATATATATATATTCCAACCAAATGGGTTTCTCCAGTGCCCAAAACCCTAAAATAATATATATATATATATATATATATATATATATAATCATCATGGTATCATGATATGGATTTCAGAGCATTCGCATTGGATCGGACCCGGCCCAACATGAACATCTTCAAGATTTCAGATTTATTTATGGGCCTAACGAAGATGTTTCAGAAACAAAATTATAATATTTCTACAATTTAAAAACACAAAACAATAAATTGTCAAATCTTACACTATTGTTTTTGAAACATTACAACTTGCTCATGGGTTTCATAATCTTTTGTAAAGAAACAAATGTTTGGGTTTTGCAACTCTTTTGATATATAATAGAAATCACCTTCAAACCAAAAAAAAAATTGGTCACGCCTTTCTCCAAAATCCGTTAAATTTGGCTTTAACATTTAAGAAAATGTCGTGATATAGAATCGATCACACAATGATCTATTTTATGAGGAGCGTGTTAGTCCCAAAACGTAAAAATAAAAAAATTATTATAACTTAGATTAAAATAGGAAACCAGTAAAATAACTTTGAAGAATATAATAACGAAATAATTTGGATAATCAATTACGTTTAACCTATTAGTAATACATATAGCATTTTTTTGAAATTCTGATATGTTTATCTGTGATTTTTTTTTTTGTAATAGTGTCCTCTTAATTTTGAAATTGTGAAAAGCTCCAAGTAGATCGTGGCAAGCACTAGGATAAGGCTTAAGGAACAACGGAGTGGACGACAGGGCAAGCCTGTGGGCCGATGGCGCACGTGGTTAGAATGTGGCCGAACCCTCTACTTGTCCGCCTCGAACCGGCCCATGTTGGACCCAGTTCGGTCCCTTTCTTCCTCCATTACCCCCCTTTTCTCTCTCTCTTCGGTTTTCGTGTTTTTGTTTTGTCTTGTAGTGACCCTGATCCGTTTCTTTGTCAACTTGTAAATGGTCGATATTGTGTGTTTTTTTATTTTATTTTAGTTTCTGTTTCATGCTTTTTAAAAAATTTATTTTTAGCTTTAGTTCAAATTTCAGTTTAGTTATTATTTTATTTAATTATCTATTTTAAAAAATTGTTTTTAAACATAATTATACTTTTATTGACTAAAATTTGTTAATATAATTTCAAAAATTACCAATTTTTGTTTGAATTCATAGTATAATATATAAGTTATAACATTGTAATATTATATTAATTATTTAAGACAATATTATATGCATAAATATTAATGTTAGCATCGTATAACATTCAAATGGGTTTTGATTGATTACACGGACAACCTTTTTGCAAGTGTATATAAAAACTAAATAAACAAAGTGTACACATTTGTGAAAAGGCTTCAATATTTATGGATGCGTTGGGGAAAAACATGTTGGATATCATAATTAGTGGGAGCTTTTAATGGCCCTTTTGCTTGAACTAAAAAGGTGTGTTGGTCGTTAAAAATATAAATTACGATAAAAATAAATATTGATCATTAGAAACCATCACACTCTATTCGCATATAAAAGTTCTCGTAAAAAAACCTAGTGAATGTATAACATATGGTTCAATGGGTATATGATTGTTTTACATCTGAATATTAAATGTCTATTTTTTTTGTAGTCAAAGTAATTTCCGGAAACAAAATTTTATGGATAATTCTAAGATCTATACCAAATCGGGTGTGTTTTTAGAAATTTGAATTAAACAAACGTAAGCGTGTAAATTAAGGTGGTCGGATACAGAGGCGGACCATATTAATGGGGTGGCCCCCAATTAGTTAATTAAAAAAATTTAATTTCCTTGCAAATTTTATGAAATTCTAAATGAAATCATTAAATGCCCCCATGATAAAATTTTCATTATAAAACTGTTGACCCCAATTACAAAATATTTCTAGGTCCCGTTCTATATTGGATATAAAATTGAGTATATATATAACAAGCGATTTTTATTATTATAATTCGATGGTAAAAGTCTCGGCAATATTTAATGGACCGAACTTACATGGTTTCACAAAATGGACTAATTAGATTAAAGGCATAAGTTGTTAATTATGTTTACAATATATATATATATATTATATGTGTGTGTGTGTGTGAGATACGATACTGTTGAAGTTTGGTTAGAAATGAAATGTGTAATAGACAATGAGTTAGGTGCAATTGACCTAATGAAGGTTAGGCATAGGTTAAACAAGGACGCCACCCTGGTTAGCGGTGACACTCCACATCAAGCTTTTCGTTTATTAAACCTTTAATTTTAATCATAGTTGTCAAATTCCTACTGTCACATCTCTTTTATTTTTTTTAATAATAATATAAAAATTATAACAATTCTTAATTACGATAATTGTTTTATAATAATATAGAAATTCTAATAATGTGCAGTAGCAAAAATTTTGTAAACAACTTATAAAAAATATAATCAATTACCCTAAAATTATTGATAGAGCAAATCGATGTTCATATTCTAATATTCCGATTTTAATTTTTTTTTGGATTTTGTATCTGAGTTACTTAATTTTAAAGGAAAAATTATAAATAAATAAAAATCCAAACTAAGATGATTCAGAAAACATTTTTTTTAAGCAAATATTATTTTGTTTAAGGAAAATCCAAGACGCATAGACAAAAGCAACTTATCACATTTACCATAAAATCGAAATGACTATTACTCGGCCATAAAGGACAGATAAGATTTGTCCCTATATTGTACTTCCCGATAGATAGAGATTGACTTTACAGAAACCCGAACAGAATACGAACACCCATTCCCAGAAAGATCGGAACACATCAGCCAATAGAAACGGAGAAAAAGATTTTACCCATGTTATAATTCCACAAATAATTATTTAATTATATGAAAAAAAAAACTCAATATAGTCATTATGCTCCCGCGATAATCGACGGCGGAGAAAAGAAGCAGCCCGGAAATTTAAACTCACGCCGTAAAACTCCACCGAAGGATTATATAAACTGTCACTGATCGGAACATTTTAAATTTAAAATATGCCCGCCGAATCAGAACGATGGTACGACGCCGTACTGGGAGGCCGAACCGTACACGTGGCCAACCAGAACGACGTCGTTGTCGTTGTCGTTGTCGGCGTCCGTGCGTTTGGCAAAGCGACCTTTGATCCTTGGTCGCGATTCGGCGTAGGCTTTCCTCGAGGCGTAACGGATCGTCTTCTCGAACTTCCTGTTCTTACGCTTCTCTCTGTACCTCGAAACCCTAGCTTCCCTGTCCGAACCGCATATCTGCTGGCTCGTGGTTCCTCCCAAAATGGAGGGGTTCGGATCGCCCGCGGTCGCTGTCGAACCGGCGATCACGTTTCGGCCCAAGGGTATCGAGATTTCCGACAGGGAGATGCTTCCGTCCGGAACGACGCCGAAATCGTGGGACGAAGTCGAAACCTGAAATATGGTTTGATTAATCCAAGTCAATCTCTCTGAATTCCAGCTTTTGTTTTTAAGTTTAGAGATTTTCATTCAGAGGACAATAAAGAAACTAAAATTGACGGAATTCGGCGGTGAATTACACGGTGGCTGATGGATTGAGTTGCGTAGCTGAAAGTTGAAAGCTTTGATCCGCAGAAGTCTATGTTGAAGCAGTGTTCGTTGTTACCTGCTGAGACAAGGTTGGTCTTTGTCCGAACCGGGACAACTCTGTCTGCTCCGGTGCTGTTATGCGGCGGATGGAACGAGTTCGGGCACACGAAGTCGGCCAATCCGTCGAAATCGGAGAAAACAAAATCAGAAGAATTCATTTCTGCGGTTGTGTCGATGTTTATTCCGGGCTTCTCGCTGAACTCGTCGGGGATCAGCCACGAGCACACTTCCAGATCGTGGGATTGACACGTCGCGGCGGAGAAATCGGAGGCGGCAGCGGCGGAGTCAAAGAAGGGTTCGACGGGAAGGCGGTCGTGGCGGCTGGCGAGAGGGTTGGCAGAGTGGATGTCACTGTCGCAGGAAACGCAGAGAGTGGCGGCGTCGGCCTTGCATGTGACGGCGGATGGGGCCCGCTCGCACACCTCGCACACCCACACGCGCTCGTGGCGCGTGCCCGAGTGGACCCTCGAATCGCACGTTATGCACAGGAACGCCGAGTCGACTCGGCAGTACACGGTGGCGGCGACGGAGTGGCAGCCGTCGCATGAACGGGCCGCTGAGCCCGGGATTCGCTTAACGTTCGCTAACCCGAACCCCATAGCTTCTCTTTCTAGCAGAAGTTTTGTTAAAAATTGTTGTAAGTCGAGTATTTAATAAGACAGAGAGGGACGTAGGGTCCATTATCGAATCATTTGACGAAACGTGGATCAACCACAGCCATGCAAATGATAGTTTGTATAAAATGACTTGCCTACAATTTTTTTTTTTTAATTAGGCCTCCCACATGGGTTCTTTGCCACAAATTCCTTTGAAATTTAAATTTGAGTTTCTATTTGTTGCTACACAACCTACATCTTTTTTTTCCCTCGGCAAATGAACAAATAGTTTAATAATTATATAAAATAAAAAAACCATCATTAAACCATTAATTAGTGTTGTAAATAAAATAACACATGAAAAATTCACTTGTTTTATTAATATCTAAGAACATATATTTCCTCCGAGGTGATCCGTTACAAGATGGATCCGTAATTTGGTTGACTCTTCAATGGCGCAAACGAGTTCTTTGTTGTCTTAATTCAGCATTAAATGCACACTCGATTCGATCGTTCTATCTACAATTCTACATTATGGCTTTAATTCGAAAAATATATAGCATTTTTCGGGTATTGGTCACGGAAATTCGCTGAAAATTAGTAACATCTAATTTTTAACAGGAAAAATCTCTACCTAAAAATTAGTAAATAAATCCTCTCTATACGAGATTGTAGTCTGAATTTTCGCTGAACTGATACTGATTTATCTATTCTGTGTGGTTTATCAACTATTACGTAGAATCAGATAGTTTACTGTCCGAGATACTATGCGCTGTCGGCCAGAGTTCGATACAATGGGTTTTGTGATGGTTCCACCGTTAAAAAAATCTAATTTTTAATTTGTAACAAGTATAATAAAATTTATATTCGGTGGATTCGGTGGAAACAACGAGAGATACGCAGACTAAGAAACCGGAGACACTTTCTCCCCCAAAGGAAAGGAGTGCACTTTCCCCGATGCCACTGTGGCGTTCTTTTCGACACGTGTCGATTTCCCTCCTATGTTACATTTGTAGGATCATGCACACTGTGTGGATGGTTATGATTAAAATTAATGTTATGTGGTGGATCGTCTGATCATAGCAAATCAAAATAATACAATTTAGTGCGCTTCATATATATATATATATATATATATATATATATATATATAAATCGAAACTGACAAGATCAGTTCATAAGCATGTGAACAAGATCAGTTCACAGCTGGATAATGTTCCTCGTGTTGGTTTCAGTTGTTATGGTGAAAATACTCGTTGCAATAACAATTTAAATTCGAGACTAGGAGTTTGTATTTACATGATTTTCAGAAGTTAGGACTCGGTCACGTTCGTGGGCCGTGAAAACAGTTATTGGGCCGAGCGTAGTTAAATGGGCTCCATGACAGAAAAGAGAGATTCTTAAGTACCATAAATGCCCATGAGCTGTAATTGGTTGGGCCTCCAAGCCGTGTGGGATCTCAGCCATGAGGGACTCGGTCGAGCCGTTGGATATGGCTGAAGGACCTGGCCTTGCTCTGACAAAAGTGGAACCGGTAGAAATCTCGGTTATGCCCCGTCTTGAACCGGAGCTGTACCGGCTCACTTAAACCGGTCATTTGCTATATTATCTTTGATAGCAGACATTATGGAATGATTGAAGATATTATGCACTCTACGATTGTATTGCCTTTTATATACATATTTCCATAATGTATGCTATCCATCTTCTGCCCTTTGCGTTACAAATAAGAAAATGTCCAACCCTAGTTTCCACTAGTGATCTAAAACGTGCTGGTTCGAATCGGTCCAGATCGACTCGTCTCGAGTCAACTCATTTTTGGTTCAGCCCGTTCGGCCCATTTTTTTACGAGTTAGAAAAACTCTGATCCACACCAAATTGTCCGAGCTCCGAGTCGGCTCGCGAGTTAGCCTGTTTTTATCTAATTATCCGAAAAAAATTTAAAATTACATAAAAATTAATAATTTAAAGAATACAAAACAATATTTTGAAGTCATTCAACATAACATAAAATATTTAATGTAACAATCTATAAAACTATATCTAAATAAAAAAAAATTAACAAAATCAAACCAACATAAAAAGTGTAATACACCAACAACATCAAAATATAACAAAAAATATATACCAACATCAACATATCATAAATTTTAATTTGCTATATATACTGAAGAAGTGAAGAAATTAAAGTATGAAACCCTAATATTTTTTTAATGTCAGCTCGCGAACCGACCGAGCTAGCCCGAATGGGCTCGGACTCGTCGCGAGCTGGCTCGTTCGACCCGTTTTTATTTGGTCTTTTATTTTTACAACCCAACTCGATAAAAAACGAACCAACCGCGAGCCAACTCGTGAACCTGACTCATTTTGCCATCACTAGTTTCCACTAACGTTTCATTTCTAAGGTTGAATGGAAGAAATTTTTGGGATTTTTAAAATTTAATAACTAAAAATTTATAATAAAAAACTTTATAAATTTTATTTTTTAAGAAATTTTAAAAATTATTTTAGTAAAATAATCAATTAAAACGAAATTTTTTATTTTTAGATTTACAAATATTACAAAAATCAAAAAACAAAAACCAAAAGTTAAAAGTAAAAACTTTAAACAAAAAATTCAAAATAAAAACTATCATCGTTCATAACCATTAATTACGAGTTTTTTTTTACATCTATATATAATAAATTATTAAGTTGGTTAGTTTCTAATCTATATATATCTTTTTTTTGGTAACTAGTTTCTAATCTATATCTTACTAATCTATACTATTTGTAGAAACGATTTTAATTGATTTGTAATAACCCATCATTCAAACTATAGAGATTCAATATATATAAATTTATATATATATATATATAGCGATGATAATTTCACAATCCTTTGAATTATATATATATATATAGCGATGATAATTTCACAATCCTTTGAATTAATTAGGATGTTTTGGTTTCAAATATCATCAACCAAACAACACAAAAAATTCTTTTGGTTATTTATATATGATCTTATTGTGTCTTTCATCCCTTTAATACATTATCATGTCACAATAATCATCACCCCCTTCGAATGACATGAGGGAACGTATCGAGGTCGAACTTTTTTTTCTTCTTCTTATAATGGCACTTCAAGATTTGGGATTTTTTTAATAAAAAAATACGGGTGGATATGGTGAGCTATAGTTATATGCCACGTCGACATTCTGGAATGTGCTGTGGGAGCCACTTTGTTCCCGTGCATTTTTTTCAACATGGGACAAAAAATATAAATATGATATAAAATATAAAAAACTAATAAAAATATATTATCAGAAAAATATTTTTCATTATATAGCTAAATTCTCCGATCTTTCATTTTTTTAAATCTATTCCTAACAACTTCATTTATAATTATCTCAAACATATTTTTTTCGATAAAACAAATTAGAAAATCACTCAAAGGCTGATCACCAATCCGATTACGCAAAGTTATTTTAACATGACTAAAAACTGTCATATAAATGAGCAATTTTGAATTTATTCCGTTAAATAGATCATTAAATTTTGGACACTGTAAATTTTTTTGAGAAATTTCTCAATAGATTTCTCTGTTAAATCAATTATGAGATTTGTATAAAAACAAATTTATTAATATGATAGATATTTAGAAATAAATGAATAAAAGATAAAAAAAATATTTAAAATAAAATCCAGAATACTTATATATTTTTGTTGGTTTTAGTTTTTTGGATTTAATTATTATTGGATTTTTATTTTTTTATTTGATAAAAAATTAAACAGAATTAATTTGGAGTTGGTAAAGAATATAAAAAAATGAAGGAGAATGTAAAATTGGTAGAAAAAAAAATTGAAAAAAAAAAGATTTAGGGTTAAAAAAATGAGGGGGCACCATTTCATTTTTAATGGGGGCATTGTTATAATTTAATTAAAACTATAAGTAATATTTCTTTTTTTTAAAATGTGAATGGGGGCATGTGCCCCCACTTATGTGCAAGTAGATCCGCCCATGGTTTTCTGTCAAACGTTTAATGGTTTTTTTACTATTTATTGTAAATTGTAAAACTTTTAGTTTGCTAATTAACCATTTGGCTAACAGTTACCCAGAATTTTGCGTACACGAAATTTGATAATCCGCCTAACAAGCCACGAGTTCACATGCGCATATAATACGGTGTGAATATTATACACACACACACACACTCCCAAGTCCAATCAATTTCATAAGCAAACAAACCCAACTCACTTCTGATTGGTGTTTCTGGTCCACACAATGATATATGATTTTTTGTTGTGAACGCCTCGATGTATATTATATACGTACATATATATATATATATGTGTGTGTATTGAATTGGTGGATTTTAACCATTCAAACTATACTGAATTTATATATTTAGCTGTTAATCATTAATTAAGCGCATGGAAATCTTGATACATTGAATTTTATTTAAGGGGCATCAATTTCTCTTTTTCTTTTCTTTTTTTAAATAATATCCTCCTATAAAACTAGTATATAAGAATGCATGGACCTCCAAAAATATATGGTGTACCCACAAAGCGTCAAAGCCCTACGTAAAATTAAAGGGGAAACAAATTTTAAACCATGAAAGCCCAAGTGATCATCCTCTTTAGTACGATTCTTGTCGTCTCTACCTCCCATGGATTCATCAAACTTGCCGAAGCTGCGAGACCGATTTCCACCGGAAATACAGCGGCCGACGAGGCCGAAGACAGGAACCGTACGATATACGAAGTGTCGAAGCAGCTCTGCTGGGGCTGCGACAGCGACTCGCTCCAGTTCTTGTTCCGACACAACTTGGTTCGAGCCGCCAAGTGGGAAGTCCCCCTGGTAACTGAACCACCTCTCCTAGCCATCTAAAAGGGAATATAATTCTTGTTTTCTTCTTTCGCTTTCAAACTTTTTTATAAAATGGGCACGAAAATTATACTTTGTGGGTGTGGAAGCAGGGGTGGGACAAGAACCTGCAGAAGTACGCGGAGTGGTGGGCGGAGCAGAGGAGGTCGGACTGCGAGCTGAGACACTCTTTCCCAGAGGGAGGGTTCAAGCTAGGGGAGAACGTGTTCTGGGGAAGCGGTGAGACGTGGAAGCCGGCGGACGCGGTGGCGGACTGGGCGGCGGAGGAGAAGTACTACCACTACTCGTCCAACACGTGCGACGGCGGCCAGATGTGCGGCCACTTCACCCAGATCGTGTGGAAGTCCACTCGTAGGGTCGGATGCGCACGCGTCGTCTGCGACGACGGCGACGTCTTCATGACCTGTAACTACGACCCTCCCGGCAACTACGTCGGCCAGAGGCCCTATTGATCCAACCCATTACCCGTTTCGATTTCTTAGTGTTTACGTTTGTTCTTCATCTTTTTTTTTTTCTGTTAACGTGAGAATGAGAGAATTTTTTTTTGAAGTCATTAGATATGTTTTTAAGAGTTATGAAGATGAGCCGTAATACAAAATTAATTAGTGGCGTAATCTTTGTTTACTATATATAATGGACTCTTTGTTGAAATGATAAACATATTGAGGAATTTGGTCACCATGTGGAAAACTTAAAATTAATTGGAAGCAATTATTGGTTGTTGTATGTGTTATGGAACAAATGGAGACATAAATCAATCAATCAATCAAATTAATAAAAAAGGAAATTAGATAAATTAAATATATTTCCTTATTTATTTTTATGAGATCATATTTTTTTAAGAAAATTCCAAAATTAATTTATTATTTTTTTTTTATGGGAAAATGACATTTTTCTGCACGGATTGTTTAAAATGTGACTTTTTTCTACACGAACTTTTAATTTGACAAAAAACTACACCAAATTATCAAATGTACCAAATTGATACACGAACTACCCAATTTAATTGCAATTTCCTACACAATCCGAAAACGGTATTAAATATCCATTAACCGATGACGTGACATGCCATGTGGCATCTGACATGGCACGCCATATAAAAAATTTGGCATGTCAGTATGTCACATCAGATTTTTAAAAAAATACAAAAAATCCGAAAAATTACCAAAAAAATAAAAATAAAATAAAAATAAAAAGTAAAAAATACACATATATACATATATATTCATATATATATACAAATACAAATATAAACATACATACTCCTATATATGTATATATACTTATATATTTTTTATTATGTATATATATATATATACCTAGAAGTATTTATGTTTATATTTGTATTTGTATGTGGATATATATATATATATTATTTTGTATGTATGTATGTACACATATATATACATATGTATATATATACATACATATATACGTGTATATGTTTTATATATATGTATATATATATAAATATACTTGTATGTATGTATGTATATATATTGGTATAAATGCATGTATATATGTGTATATTTTTTATTTGATATATATAGACATATATATACATAGGAGTATTTATGTTTATATTTGTATTTGTATGTGGATATATATATATATCGTGTATATGTATGTATATATATTTATATATATGTATATATATAAATATACTTGTATGTATATATATGTATATGTATATATACATATATATACGTGTATATATATTTATATATGTTTATGTGTATATATATAAATATATTTGTTTATATGTATATGTATATATATTTGTATAGATGTTAGTATATATATATGTGTATATGTTTTATTTTCTATATATATAGATATATTTTTATATAGGAATATATATATTTATATTTGTATTTGTATATAAATATAAATATATTTGTAGGAGTATATATATATTTTTTAAATAGAAGTATATAGATTTTTATATAGGAGCATATATATATTTTTTAAATTTTTTCAAAATTTTTTATATTTTTTCTGATTTTTTTTTAAATCTGACGTGACATGCTGAAGTGGCAAAATTTTTCATGTGGCGTGCCATGTGAGACGCCACGTGACATGCCACGTCATCAGTGAACGGACATTTAACACCCAACTCGGATTATGTAGGAAATTGCAGTTAAATTGGATAGTTCGTATATCAATTTGACACATTTGATAATTTGGTGTAGTTTTTTGTCAAATTAAAAGTTCGTGTAGAAAAAAAATCATATTTTAAACGGTTCGAGTAGGAAAATGTCATTTTCCTTTTTTTTATCGATAAAATACATCAATTTTCTAGATACCAAATTCATACATCAAATTATAATTTTCTATCAGATTATTATACGAACATTAAAGACGTCAACTTACCGTCAAACACATATGTATGTATGTTGATGTCGTCAATATTCGTATAGTAATCTGAAAGAAAATTGCAATTTGATGTATTTATTTGATATCTAAAAAAATTATGTATTTATCGGTAAAAAAATTAACAAATTAATATATTTATTTGAAATTTTCTCTATTTATTATTTTTTTGTCTTTTACAATAAATAAATAAACTATTTTCATTGTAAGAGAAGAAACAAAATGTAATAATGAACAAGATGAGATGTAAAAATAAATAAGATTCTGTTCAATTTTTTTCTTTATGTTTATTATTTAGTGTAGCTCATTATAATTTTCAAGATCTTTTTTGCCATCTAAGTAATGTTAAGTTTGATTCAAGTTTCTCTCTGATATATATATATATATATATATATATACACTAAAACAAAACCATATTTAAATCCTAAAATTCCCTCCCTAGGATAATATTATAATATATGTGCCTTTTGCACATTTGCCTAAATTGTTCATCATCTAAAATTTCTTACACCAACTAAAAGCCCTTGACGTTTGTTTTATTATTTTTTTTCTCTCTTGGTTGTGAGATAAGAATGAAATTTTGACACGAGAAGAAAAAGCACAAGCATTGATTTAAATTATTATTACCCGTAACATGCTACAAAATATATACTATAGTACATAGAAAACCCCATTTTTTTTTCGGCCCAACGCTTCTACAAGCTTATGTTCGTAATCGTATCAATACATCATTTTATATGCGTCCCTAAATTATAAAAACCCACACGATGCGCGCATGGAATGGATTATTACACGCTGTCAACGTAACCCATCTGCTCGAACTCTTGTAGCATGACGATCCCATGATCTGTCTGGTCCACGACAGATACCGAAGCCGAGTCCCAAGATCTCGACCGCGTCGTCTTCCTCTCGAACTCCTCTGACCACAAACTCGAACCAGCGTTCATCTCTCTCAGAAGACCGAAATCGTTAGCCACTTCGACATCGTTCGAACTTTTGTTCATCTCTTTCATAAGATCCAAGCCGTTATGATCCAAGTGAATTTGCTGAGACAGCCCTGTCGAGGAGAAGCTTTGGTTGTCCAAGAACGAATCAAGATTGGGCCGGAAATCATGAACCGGGTTCAAGAACGGTTCAAGGCCGTCTGAATTCGGACAGACGGCCGGATTGAAACGTCCACAGAATGATGAGACCCCGTTATTCATTTGAGATAGCTTGTTCTGATGATCAACTTCTAATGTCGGGAAGTTTTCTTGCAACGCAAGTCTCGAATCTTGATCTTGCGTCTGCAGCAGCGGGTGAAGATTAGGCCACAGGAGAGGATTTTTATAGAAACTGGAGAATGGGTTCTGCAGATTCTGAAGCTGCATATGAAGCTGCAGCCTCTCGAGGGCTGAGTTGCTCAGATTCTGAGAGCTCTTGGAGGTTTCATTCGAGTCGGTGATTGAATCTTGGCGAGTCATCTGCTTCTGCCTCCCGAGCAGCTTCTTCTTCAGTTTCGTGTTCCAGTAGTTCTTGATGTCGTTGTCTGTCCTTCCCGGAAGCTGAGCCGCGATAATCGACCACCTGGACAGCGTTCACGGGCAATATTTTATATACTTTAACCGGACTAGATTCATTTACATGTACATGATAATAAATTTATAGTTATATAACATTTTACGAATAAAGGAGTAATTATGGACTTGAAGGTTTAGATATAAGAATAAAAATTGTTTGCAAGGTTAGATACATGTGCACAAGAACATGAATGTATGTCTACTAAAACACCAAGGAAACTAGAACAAGCGGAAAGAGACAACATATTAAATTAACCCTATATATATATATATATATATATATATATATTTTATGAGGAAGTGAAGGTGAATAATATCACAGACAGATTCTCGCATGTGTTTCAGCAAAAGATTCAGAGACAAGAGATAAAAAGACAACTATTTCAAGTCGAAACCCTCAAACCCAAACCGATATATATGCTCCTTAATTGACAGCCTTGTAATTAAAATCTCTATATAATATGACACTAAGAGATCAGAGGGGCTTGTTCTTTTAATTTAGTCCTTAGATATAATGCGACATTAAATCATTAGTTTTACATCGTTTATTATATAGATGGTGCACGAAAAGTCGATATTGACCGTCGATTCGATGAATGAAAATCGAAATCGAATTATATGTGATTTTGGCAAGAGAAAATGGACCAACCGGCTGCCGATACTGATGTAGAGACTGAGAATGATGTTGTCTTCTTCGTCGGAGAATCCGCCATGTTTGATGTTTGGTCTCAAGTAATTCAACCACCTCAGTCTACAGCTCTTTCCGCATCTCCTCAACCCTATATCCGCACGTCGGATGGATTAACACAACGCTCAACTTCAACACACAAGGTACGGACGGATAATAATTATACGAGTATTTGGTTGTCAAAATGTATGGATTTGTATCCAATTAAAAATAAAAATATACGCTACTATACGGACCATTGAATTCAGGGCTTGATTAGAAGGGACCACAATAACAGTTGGTGAGAATCAAAGGACGTTGAAGCCTATTATTAGGATTAATACAAATTTGACAAATTAATGCATGGTACCATGCATGAATCTAGAAGCAAGTTGGGAATTATGGAGAATTAGAGTTATCAATTGATAAAACATATGCAATATATACATATATATATGCAGAGTTTGGTTAGATAAGTATATAGTCATCGATCATACCGATTTTGTGAGGAAGGGCGATCCAATTGCCGCCGGTTCCATATTTCTCGATGTAATTCTTGAGCTTCGCGTCTTCTTCAGGCGACCACGGCCCTTTCTTCACGTTTTCCTTGTCGCAGCACGGTGCTCTTCCCATTTTTTTTTAAAATTTCTTCTAATTAATCAATTGATCTCTCTCACACAACCCTTCTCTACTTTTGCCGATGAAAATATGTGTGGGATGAGGAACAAGGGTAAGATTTTATAGGGATGATGAAGATGGGCGATGTTCGTTAAACCCCTTATTATTATAACGACAAAAACATTAAAGAAGGAAAAAGTCTCTTTTATTTTTACACAAATTATTTACTCTCTAGGGTTTGTGTCTGCTTTTTGGGTTAGCTTCGTGTGCCTTTCGTCTTTATTTTTTATTATTTTGTAAAGCGTTAACGCAAATGGACGATTTGTCACGCGATTTTTTCTTTGTGTTTATAATAAAGAAAGATTAGACTTTATTCATTGGGCGGACCAAGATTAGTTTAATTATTGCAATATCAAAGGGAAACGAACCATCATCCTCTTTGTTTGTCGCGGCTAGGGTTAAAATGTTCTCGTCCAAAGCAAGATAATAAGCTTTTGGTGCATTGACCAACACATGAGAAATAAATACGTTTTGATTACAGGCTATATATTATGAAAATATATAGTGTGTGTGTGTGTATATATAACAAGTATTAGGGTTATAAAATTTATTTCAATTTTCTATTTACAGAATACAGGAAAAAAAAAGAAATTTCAATCTCGGGAATGTATAGTTTTAAAGGAGGAGTTTCTTAATTATAAATAATCAAGATATTTGATCTTCCTAGAAAGTTAAATACCATCACACCGCATGACAAAGATCACCAAGCAAATTGTGCAAAAGGAAAAAAATAAAATCATGGGTCCTTATATTTACTGCCTAATAAAACCGTGAATCAATGTCATGGATTATACGTTGTCCAATCAATTATTATTCTTAAGAAGTTTATATCTTAAGTTGAGTATATTCAGCAGATAGATATATGTTAATATCATATATAAACGGATCTTTGTACAATACTATTATATATAGGCATGTCTTTACATTTTATTCCTATATATATATATATTAGCGTATGTATATTATTTACTATAATTAATCAATAAATAGTTATATTTTTTTCCAACTTTGAAGAGAATTGGAGAACAAAATAAATTAAATTCCTAAATGAGTACTCAAAAGTTTCTGACGTTTTCAACCTTGAAAAAATGATGTTCAAAGTGACATTTTTGTAATTGTATTCATAAAGGAAGTCAGAAAGAAATATTTGATTGAAGGGTAAAGAAATATGTGAATACAGCGTTAGAGGCATTTGAACATCATCGTGGCTAGAATTTACAGCTTATGATTTGTATTAATGATCATGCGTGCATGGATGATTATGTTTATATATGATATTTTTTTTTTGTAAAAATGTAAATGCCATATATAATAGTATTGTACAAAGATCCGTTTATATATGATATTAACATATATCTATCTGCTGAATATACTCAACTTAAGATATAAACTTCTTAAGAATAATAATTGATTGGACAACGTATAATCCATGACATTGATTCACGGTTTGCTTACAAATAAACTCAAAAAAAATATATTAGATTTTTAAATGACTAGCGAGTTTAATAAATAATCAAGTGAGATAGGGAACCGCAACTAGCCAAGAAAATAACAAGAGGAAACCATCAAAATTTCATAAAGGAGCAACTAATATATATATATATATATATTCTGTGTAAATATAATAAAATAATATAAGCCTAATTAAGCCAACAGTGATTTCGGACCTTTAAGATGAAGCAACACACATGTTTTCTTCTTGTCCTTTTTGAAAACCCTAGAATCTATGCATTTGACAAATCCCACATATTAAAATAACTTAGAGCTGGTGATTCATATAATATAATTTTAATTACAATTCCTTTGAGAGGATAAGCTTGAGGTGTCCACTGGCTTCCTTCTATAATTCCTTTCTCATTAATCATTGCCCAGCTAATCTCGATATCCTCAAGAGATTTGCACTTCATAATAATATAAAACCACTTATCCGTTTTTTAATCGAATGTAGTAAGAGTGGAACGTTATATTACAGTAGAATTAATCTTTTATACGTTACTAGAATTGACATTTGTACGGAGATTAAATAATAATGATTGTCTTGATATACTTCATAATCAATGTTTTTTATGTAGCTCTTTTTTTTCTCTCTCTAAAAGTCATTCTTAGAATATAAATAAAGAAACGCCGCGATTTGATTTTTATCGAATAAAGATAATTTCTATATCATATGTACCTGAGACTCTTTTTTTCTTTTAACTCTGCATAATTTTTTTTGTATGGCTTATGTGGATTAAATGGGATAAATTAAGATAAATCAGTGCGATTAAATATGCCTGACATTAATTGGTACACAAATCCAAGCTAACTAAGACTTTAGCCTTAACTGATATTTGTTTTATAATCCACAAGTTCACCGAACTTTGGTCATACTATATCTTCCATAGATCGGGTAAATCCAAATAAATATCTTTCTCCACACTTAAATTTGAACTCAAGATAAAAGTATTATATATTCTCTTATCATTAGACCATCTAAATTGAGTTTTTAAAAGAGGGGTGCAATCACGAAAACTTCTCAATAGATCATCCATCCTATTATTACTCTCGCAAAACATGTTTAACAACGGAGTTCTGATGGGATTCGATGTATTAGTGATGATATGATCGCGCCCAAGCACGCTTAACTATCGTCCAAACACGCTTAGGACTGATATTATTTTGTAAGCCTATTATTTCTTCACAATAGATTTAAGATATATATGATGGTTTGAATTTCACCAGAACTCTATTTAAATTATAAGAAACTTTACAACAATGACATCATGTCCATCGGGTTGACTAACATAGCACGGTTCACACGTCATTAAGCCATACATACATCCATCCATCCATCCATCCATACATACATACATACATACATACATACATACATACATACATACATACATACATACATACGAAATGGTACGTGTGTGTTTGACCAGAGGAACAAAGTCTCAGCCGCGTGTTAGGTGTCTCACTAAGAAACAAATGTTTCTCTAGAGGACAAGACATGTAAATGTTATTCTGATGGCGTCACACACATTGACCCTTTATTTAATTCAGTATAATCGGTCTTTTCAATTCTCTAGCAGTTGTTATGTACATTAGCACGCACATACACATATCACATTGTTACAAAGTTGATACACGTAGCAGAAAATGAAGCTTATGATTTTCTATGTATATAAATCTTTTATCTTTTTTAATTGTGCTCAATTGGATGATAAATTTATATTTTGATCTGACGGCAAACTCGTACCGTTTTACCTCAATGACCTAAGCATATAGTACACTTGTTATTCGAGACTATCATTTTATCCTTTTTACATATGTTTTATATAATCTTGAACAAATTAATTATGTTCTAACTAGAGACGTTCGAATATATATATATACAGGTTATTGAAAAAAGCCTTAACTAAATTACCTATAGTTCTAGTCGTTCTATAATTAGTTCCGGAACTCGAAAGTTCATTTTAAGACGATGATTGTGATACTTTATAAGAGGGCATCTGTATGGTACGAAATACACATTTATATACTTCTATATATTTGAAGTCTCTCTTACCGTGAAAGAGACATGAAAGAAAATAAGAGACTTGCCAAATTCTTTGAGAAAACATTTGGATCGTGATATCGTGTTTCCTGTTTTTACAATCGGATTCCGATCACCGAACGAAAAAGGATATTACATGATTCTAACCGAAGTTATAATCATTTCGTTTTTATTTCCGCAATTTTCTTCCATAAAGTTTTGAAGATATATTGTAATAATATATTTGAAGGGTATATATCCCGTACGTGTACAAACACAAAGTACATACAAACTTAAGAAAAGGGAGGGGGTGCATGAACAAATGGAGTTGATGATGTCATGGGTGACTTACTACACTATGGAATTTTAATTTAAATATATTTTTTCTACTTTGCAAGGGTTTGACTTTGTTTGGCGTTTCTCGTAGACAGAGAATCAAAAACCCTAAAGTCGCCCGTCCCTCTTTGTGGGCATTTTCCTTGCAAGTACGTTTTGAATCGGTTACCATATGGACCCAATTCCATCACCTAACATACCATTAATTATTAATTATATCCCTCTAGCCTTTTCCATTATCCGAGTGATTGAATATATATCTCCGGTCTATGAAATAGCGAAATATACGTCTTAAACTATACCTGATTCATAGATTTCTATACAAACTATAGAAGTAAAATAAAATTAGAAAACTGAAATTTTCATACGATATTAATTCAACACCATTAGAGACATATATATATATATCCTTGCCATCCTATCTCTTCCGGTCCATCTAAGCATGAATTGAGAATTGGAAATGTGTTAGAAGGTTGTGGACTCAGAAAGTTCCAACGTAAAAATCTGAAATTTTCAAATAATAATTAGAAACGTTTAACATATATATATATATATATATATATATATATGCATGGGTTTCATGACATATGGATTAACATGAAAACATAACCCAAATAGCTCCAATTACACTACTAATACAGTGATGGACTCATTAAGTTTCAACATTTTGACACATTTTGTTTTTTTCCCCCGACAATACATCGCACATATGCATATCGTTTAAGTGGTGAAAAGGGTGTTTGTCCTTCAAATAATTTTACTCTCTCCAATAAATATATTCACACATTCGTCCATGAAAAAAACCCTAACATCTAAAACATTATTTAGTCTTTTTTGTTTTAAATAAAAAACAAAACAAAAGACCGAAAACAGCAAAAAAAAAAAAAAAAAAAAAAAAAAAAAAAACATTGTGTAGCGTTTCATCCACAGACTATATACGCTGCCCTTCACATCCACCGTCAGATGTCAAATTATCCTGCAATCAAACACAACCAGCAATATACATCACTCTCTCGATGCCTGAAAACTTATATAACAATATAACATTATATATATATTGGAAGATATAAACTCACTTTATGCAATGCTCTTAGCCCACAACGTGGTCGGAATACATAACCCATGAGGGGAGGGCTGTCGTCACTTAGCGT